GGCCCGCCCCCTTTTGTGGGAAAAATTTGGTTGATTATATAAGGAATCACTGAAGCATGACTGGAGCGGGCCCCTTCTTAGGCAGTGAGTGGGCCCCCACTTATGAAAATTTCTGGATCCGCCACTGCATTGTAATCGTCTTGTTCCCTTTTCTTTGTAGACGATGGTTGCACCGACGCTAGTGTCATCACATGAAATATTTCTTGTGTTTATTATGCATGGTTATTATTTTCTATGTTATACATGTATTCATATCATATTTCATATGTCATATTTATTATCATATCACATTGACGCTTGACGAATGACAAATCCAAATCGACCACACCTTTTTACCTGCATGATTTCTAGTTACCGCCAAAAATGTGGATGGGTTGCGCTACTAGCTATATATTTACATGTTTGTTTTTTTCTGTTTCTTGGTTTTTAGGTTCGGTTCTAATATTTTCGTTAATAACTGCTTAATTTCTTTGATTAATACTGTTCGATGGTATATTTATACTATTTGCAACTATCATTATATATATGCGTAGACATTTTCGTTGTTTAATTCATTTGTTTTCAAACAAGTAAAAAAACCAAGGCAAGCACTAAGTTCAACACTTAGTATATATCAGTGTCCCTCCCAATCTAAAAGAGTTGAGGACATTTGTTTGAAATATTTATAATTGTTGGATACAAGAATTAAAACCAAATAGCAAATATTTTTGTTTGTACTTTTCAATGATTATTTGTTCATGTTGATTTTGTTTTCTGATTCTATGTTATCTTATCAATACAAAGCATTTAAAAGGTTCATTCTAAAATTTGATAGCGCTTTTTTGCCTTCAACTCAATTACGACATAAAATGACGTCAAATAATATATGACGTAATGATGACGTTTTATGAAAAAGATGGATAAAAAGAAAACAACTTCAAAAATAACAACCACATAATGAATAAAATATATAAAATGTATTCATTAAATGAAGGAAAAGGTATTTTTTAGAAATATTAAAAAGTGAAAATATAATTGATTTTTTTTTTACACAAAGGACATATATGTCCTTCCCGCAGTAAGCCAGGGGAAGACATATATGTCCCTGCCGCAGTAAGAGGGTTAATTATTGCAGGACATTCTAAATGCAATTACTATATAGTAATAGTTCCGGATAATGATTTTTAATCACAGGAAACCCACACATGCTATTTTATACAATTATGTTCTTCATGAAAAGTTAATATCTAAAATTATTAACTCGAGGAAATGTTATGTTAATTTCCTCGAGGTCCGTAGGACCGAAGGAAATTAACATTTTCAAGATTTAATAATGTTGGATATTAGCTTTCCATGAAGGCGACAGCTGTTTTATTATACTATCTATCTGTACTTTGCATACTTATTTAAGCGTAGTAACGCAACTTTTGTAGCCTAGTTGGTGCTTTTGCTTCAAAATGCCTCAAATGTTAAGATCCGAGCATGTGCCATATCTCGAGGCGGTCACCATATTATCCAGACGTCAAAAAACGATTTGACGTCACTATCTAGTTGTTACTTTGACATTCAAATGTGCGTCAAGTTTCAAAGAGTTATTTTCGCTACGCGGATATTCCCGAACAGTTATTTTGCCTACGCGCAATCTGACTCTTGAAAAAGAGGTGATTCTCCTTGAAGTAATAAAAGAACATACAGTTTGATCTTAATTATTTTATTAGTGGATACTATAGTAAAGTATAACAATACACCTTAGAATGGACATAACACAATAAATTATACGTATTTAAGACGAGACGTAATGATATAACTTAAACGTAATAAAATCAGAATTGTCTTTATTCTATTGAATAACCCGTTAATAGTGCTTAAATGAGAATTATAATCTTTCAAAAATAACGTTTATCATTACGACTTGGAGATATTAAAAGTAATATAACCCACATTTATAAAGGCAATACAACATTTGATAACATTTTAACATTAGTTTTAATAAAATGATATTCTATTAATCAAAGGCATTCACGATGCGCACATTTATAAGTAAATGGGTTAAACCAATGAATTTAAGCATTACATTCAATTGTAATTTTGATCTCCTCTTACATATCGTTTTTTTATAAGTACATTTAAAACTCATCATTGATAATCCTGTTTTCCTTTAATAAGATAAACTTTGATGGTTAACTTAACAATAATACGATCTTATTATTAGAACAAACTACAAACAATCGGAAATTAGAATGAGCAAAACGAATATACCACAATTTTGTTACCTGATTAAACTATGTTTATCATGTATACCCAGGTATTGAAAACAACAGCAAACTTAAAGATCGAAACATGGTACAAGAAGTTCAACTAGGCTCCCAGGAAACTGTTCAGCAATATCAGGTTCTTATCACAAAATTCGAGATATGTTAATTTAAATGTCTAAAGGACCAACTTGTGAGTTATTGTGAGTCACATACGTCCGTTATTCGAAAACCCCTTGCAAAATAGAACCATCTTTTTTGGGTGTAGTCTCACCTTTTTATTTTGTATTATATTGGTAATGATCCACCACTGTGTTTGACATCTGATAGTCTCAAAACCACAACAAGATGAGTTACCTTAACCGAGAAAGACTTGAATAATGAAATTTACTTGAATTCAACATACATGTACTGAATGTGTGTTTTTTGATAAAAAGGATCAAACTTTTGTTACACTGCTGATCATCAACTACTTAATGCTGCAAGAAAACTATTGACGAACTGATAATACCTTATTAACTGGCTGGGTAGTGGTCAAGATGTATCACAAACATATTGCATATCGTAACGTTCTGAAATACATGTACATATTATATGCACGTAGAACAAGGCACATATGAATTTTGCTTTACAATTGCAACCACATTTAATTTCGAAAGATAACTTCTTTTAAGACAACATATTATGAAAGCTTTTCATTCAAAGACGAGTTACGCAATTTGTGATTTAGTGATTGTTTTACTTTCAAGCACTGGGTTGATACCGCTCCTTGTGGTCTTTTAGTCCCGCGGTTGTCATCAGCTAAATAATCAGTGCTACGTACTAACGCGATGTCATACCCTTCTTTAATTATATGTTGAAAAATTAAGTAGTAATTTGGAAACTTAGATGCCAACTCCCTCAGGAAAAGTTTTCTTGAGTTGGATTTAGCTACTATTTTTTTGTCCCTTTTGTTCATATAGCTCTTTACATGCTCAGGTAGTTTTTCTTCCTTGCATTTCGAATTTTTAGGTTTGAGCGTTTCTGATGAAGAAAAATGAAGAATAGCACTTCCGATGCTAAAAATGTATAAAGTGTTTTTTTTTTTTCATTTGCTATATTATAAACAAATGCATAATTTACAAAGTAATGACACCTAAATAGATAATATTTCCTTTTTTTATTGCATGATTATTTTTTTTTAACAATTTAAAAAAGCGCTCCGGATGCATCAACATTATAAAGTATTATTTTCATTCTCATAACATTAATGATCTTAAACACATAAAAAGACAGTATATGACCTTTAATCCCTGATAGAGCCACCCGACCATGAGACAGTGTTTTAAATATAAATGATACATTTTTACTGTAAATATTTGGTTCATAATTGGATTGTTTTATCAAAAGTGAGGTTGTAACTTCACCTTTTTGCAATTTTGCTGTTTTGTTAAGGCACTTTTGTGTTTCATACTGTTCCATGTTTTGTGAACTTAGTTTCACAAATATTTGGCCTCGGTGAACCTTGTGAAGATTGTCCAAGAATAGAATGTTTGGCATCATATATGTATATGATAATACAAAGAAAATACTATTTCAGAACTCTGCGGGTTTGGTTTATATCGAGGTTGACTTCGAACCAAAACAGAAAAAGAATGGTCCTTAGTTGTTCTCCATTCATAGTTCAAATAATTGCACGCCATTTGCTGATATAGACTTTTTGGCTATAGCTGGTCCATTACCAGAAAGTGAATCCGACGACAACGGAAGTGAAGAAGACCACTTTGTTTACACTAGAAGATGTTCAAGGGTGCTCCATTGAAATTTTGGAATAATTTAGTTTTACCGTTATATTTTGATTTGCTGAATTTGTTTGCATGAGTTTAAAACAAATACGACATTCAAATATACAATATCATTTGAATTAGACCTGAAGTTTTCAATATACATGTGCTAATATATAGATAATATAATTATTTGATGAGATCTGTCTAGAATACAAATGAGAGAACGCCATTTTATGTCAGACCATTCACTGGAACTTAGATTTACAATGGATTTTGTGTGAAATAAAACTATGTAAATTTCAGATAAATGTTCAGTTCAAAAGTAATTTAGATTAAAAGCGAGGCAAAGGATACCAAAGAGATATTCAAACTCATAAGTAGAAAAATAAACTGACAACGCCATGGCTACAAAAAAGAAAAAGACAAACAAACAACAGTACACAAAACACAACATAGAAAACTAAAGACTGAGCAACGCGAACCCCACCAAAAACTGGGGGTGATTTCAGATTAAAGCCTAAATTAAAGCTGTTGAAAATTTCACTTGAAATTCATAATCATAAAATTGAAATTTAACTTGCTATTTACATTTTCCGGACAGAAATGCTTTCAATATGCAATTGCTAAACACATGAAATATCACTATTTTAAAAAGGGAGTTTATGGAATACTACCATTGCGGCATTACACAAATTGAAAATATGTTTTGATTTGATACTGAACTTATTTCTTTTATTGTTGTTGATAATATGTAAATCGAATGACTCAGACATGTTTTTTTATCTATAATTTCATTTGATTCAAGAGTTTCGACTTAATCATTGATTTTGTGAAAGTTAATCAGATAACTCTTAGTTGTATGTGGTTAAGTCATCGCTTATATTGAGGAATTTTGGGTCCTCAATGCTCTTCAACTTCGAACTTTATTTGGCCTTTTTACTGTTTTGATTTGAGCGTCACTGGTGAGTCTTTTGTAGACGAAACGCGCGTATGGCGTACACAATTTTAATCCTGGTATCTATGATGACTTTATTTATATGATATAACAACAGGCATTTGACATATTAAACAAAATGTTAAAAAAAACAATACGACTAACAGTAAATTTTGATCTAATCCAGCTATGGAACGTGTTATAGTTATTTTGCATTCTAGAAAATTCACTCTAATTTTCCCATATATTATACAATGATGAGTTTTATCGCTCGTATTTCATGTAAAATGTATTTGTTCCGAAAGATATTGTTTATTGTTTATTGCCTATAATTTATAATTTAAAAAACATACAGAAGATACCAAAGGGAAAATAAATAATCGTAAGTCGAACTCAAACGAGGAATAGACAAACAACAATCTACATAGAATAGTAGACTGAGCAACATGAGCACCATCAAAAACTGGAGGATCTTGGGTGCTCCTGGTTGGTGTGCAAATCCTGCACCACACGTGGCACCCGTCGTGATGCTCATGTATTTACAAACCTGGGGAAAAGTCTAATTCGGTATGTCACATTCGAGGAAAAGAGGACGGACTGTAATAACGACAATTGGAATATATTCGTCGTTATGTGTGTAACAAATATTTCATAATGGTCAAACAAGTCGTGATGGTGTCTGTTAAAATTTCGAAGGGATGATATTAACTTTACCACTTGGAGCTCTTGGTTTAAAAATTGTGAAGCTGAAATCATCTGTTTTGTCGTAAAGTTTTGTTCACAACCCACATTTATTGATAAACTAAACTGATCAAATCATCACGTGTTACAATTGATCAGTTTAGTCTCCAGTGCTCTCGGTTTAGTATTCTAGTACAAAGGTTTTGAGAACATATTATTCAATTCATGGATAGCCGTTGATAAATCTCAACCTGAACAAAATGAAAATAACATGCAGCATTGTCTCATATATATGTCATCCACTAGTAAGAACAATTACTGTATACAGTAAATAAATAAAACATACATCTTAAAAGTGTACAACACTTACACAAGGGTAAAAAACTTTGTATGAAACAATAAATACAAAATTCAATAAATATCCTTCATCATAATGAGCAGGTTGATGTAAAATGGGGTCATTAGCTAGTTTCCTCTCGTGATTATTTTTCTTTTATTGATGCTTTTATTTTTAAGCTCGTGTATGATTGATCTTTCTGAGTTAATTCGTTATGGCCGTATTTGCAGTGATGTAACAATAAATTGTGTATGCTGAATGCTAACATATCTTTAAAAATGCAGATGATAAACTGGTAGACCCGTTTACTAAATTATATTCCAACTATTGGCATTTACTGTTGAACTATGATCCTTTGGTAGATTTAAAATACGGAGTAGTTCACAGCGAATTAGTCACATTGTTTATCGTGAGAACAAGTTAAGAAGTTGTAAGATCTTTCGTTTTTCCTTATAACTAGACCCCCTTTCACCCATTGATATTTTATTATTTTTGCAAACTGAAATGGTTTGGTATTTATCAAAATAATGTTAATTTTATCTTTCGTTAATATGCTGTTAGTGTATTGTGTATTGAAATGCTGTACATATATTTCCGATGGCAACACAATTTTCTGGTATTGCATGAAATATTGTCTTTCTGCATTGTTAATTGCTTTCTGGCAATTTGAGCTCCCTTGAATATGAATTTACTTCTTCATGGTTTAATTGGCTGCTAAACGGGAATTGTCAACTTTCGGAAAAGGTTTTCATTGATCTTTTTCATAAATTTCAATGAACTTATTTTCCTTGATATACCACTCATTGAGATTAATATTATCTGCGAAAACATAATCAAATTACCGTCTAAGATCAAAAACAATATGAATAGTTGTTTCATGGAGTATCTAAATGTTTTTGTCATATCCAGTAAAAATACAAGTCTTCATTTTTCAAGTTTTTAATGCAGTTGAAGTATCTGCCAAATCTCATTGTGTCTACTATTTCATATTTCAAGCGTAGTAGAAAATTACAATGTTAAATCACTTTTTTTTATGCATCTTACTTTAAAGTAAAATTCAAGTCATTGTATAAATCGTCGTTTGGGGTTACATGGTCATAATTAGTATCAAAATGCTTGACCTGTTTTGGTATCCGGTTCAGAATATTGTATACTTCATCCTGTTTGTTCATTATTTTTGGAACATCCGATATACCAATCGTAATCTTTCGAAGATCAGACTCGACTGTATATGCATTGTCAGATTTGAAAAATGCTGGTATTTCAGTGATGTCATTAGGTGACATATAAGATGGCGTCAAGCTGAATTCCTCTGCTTGATTAAGATCTTCATCTCTGATTTCCATGTAATTATCAATAGTCAAGATCTGATAATTTTTTCTGACATGTTGTGGTTCCTTTTCCAGGTTAATATCGATGTATGAATAACTACTTGCAATTTGTTCAGAGGAACTTTCAATTTGAACGTTTTCTACAATAGAGCAATCGACTTGTTATTAATATATTAGATATTCAATTTTTAATTCATTTTTCATATGTAAAAATGCATAAATTAAAGAAAATGTCGGCTTAGACGTCAATGGGACGGAAACTAGCAACATGGAACAATCATTATGTACATCAGGTTAACAGGTTGTCTACAAAACTAGAAATAACAGTTATTAGGTCACAATCAAGAATTGGTTGTCCGATGCTCTTATAAATGATTTCGTGGTTTTAGATCTAAGATACCAGTATTGTCGTCCGTATTTTACCAATTATGTCCTATTCCAGATTTTGACATTTTGACTGAGCAGTGTATACAAAGTGTGAATCGAGATAGTTCATTTTCACTGTCATACGCGAGTATTACTATTGTAGAATAAAGGATGATGGGAAAAACTGTGTTTGTTTACGTTTTGAAAATACAAAATAGTTAATCTGAATGAATGATTTAACACAATTTCGTTAAAATATGACTTTACAATGTACACGAACAGGATTAAAGTAAAAAAAATGTGTTAATAAAGCAACAATATCTAGAATATCGATTATTGAAAGCGATTCATTTTAACTATTTGTGCGATGCATTATTACTGTAAGTGCGATCATTTCTGATGTGGGATTTTTGTAGGTGCGATAAATTTTCATTGTGGTTTTATGTGATAATTGGACATTCAAAAATTGACAATATAAGATAAGGAGATATGGTATAATTCCCAATGAGAAAACTATCCACGAAAGTTCAAATGAAATGGATGTAAGCAGGTATACGGCTTTCAACAATGAGAAAAACCCATAACGTATAGTCGGTTATAAAAGGCCCCTGATATGAACATATAAAACAATTCAAGTTAGAAAACTAACAACCTAATTTATAACAAAACAAGTTTCGAAAAACAAATATGACAGGCATGAATCGACGACAACAACTGAACTAAAGGCTCCCGACTTCGGACAGACACATAAAAAATGTGGCAAGGTTAGACATGTTTGAAGGTGCCAACCCTCCTATTCCTGGAAAGTGGTGTAACGGCATTACTCCAGAACAAAATTTATAAAACGATAATCGAAAAAGCAATTATGAGAAACAGCAATACACGACAACCACTCAATTACAGGCCACTGACTTGGGACAGGGACATATAGATTGAGACAAATATTTGGACGTTCTATCTACCAACTTCGCTTCGATACGCAGCACCGCCCAGAATCAACCATACGGCGGTTATACCCGTACTTGATATAGAACCATTTAAACTTGTAGCATTAAACTGGTCTCGATATGTCATAATAATATTTTTAGAATTGTTGCTTGAATGCTCTGTACTGTGTAAGATGTGTGGACTATTAGAGGTTCATGTGACATATAAGTTATCCAAAGGCATTCAAGTCAGGTCGTATGGGCGAGCTTTCTATGTATAAGATATACGCACTGTTGAAGTTACATCAATACGTGATGTATAGTATCTATGATATAAACCAAAACTGAAAACGTAACCAGTCACTCAAGCGTTAACTGTAGGTCGTTGTGTGAACGCTCTTTATTATACATTTCATAAGTATGTGATGTACAGTATCCTAGGTATAGACCGAAACCGATAACTTAAACAGAGTTATCGGTGTTCGTAGATGTGCTTAACTGTCCAAGGTGTATGTATAATTCAATGATGGAAGGTCATTGAAATTGATTCATTTGGCCCTCCACATATATTCAAACGAATTATTAGAAACATAGAATTGGATATTTTTAATACAAAAATGTCATTTTCACGGAATTCATTTTTGTGATTTGTTAAACTTTCACTCCCAAAGTAAGCATCATCAACTCTGTCTGACATTATTTAGTTTGTGAACGAATCGGCTAAAGAAAGACTCTTTTTGTTGAAAATAAATACTGTGAAAATGTATTGCATATTCAATAGAAATGAATCGCCCCTAATCATTATTCGACAGTAAACATGAATCGCATAACGAAAGCAAAGCAGCATAGTGGAATTTAACTCACTATCAACAATCTGAATGACAAGATCTGTTTAAAGTTATACAGCATTAATGATTATGTTAAAAGATATACTGAAAATAAAACTTTACTGTTGCGTTTAAATCTCTTACAAGCTCTGTTCGTGAAATATACTTAATATTTGCCTTTTTGTGTATCGATTTCACGCCTGGAGTGCTGTAGATGCCATATAAACCCGTCTGCATCTCTTACCTGTATCATTGATTTATCAAAATTATACATTTGATAAATTATTTCTTATTTTATTCCAAAATCTTCAATTTTCGTCTCTTTATATATAATTCTACATAAGAAATACCTAACACATACAGTAAAAATGGTATTTCAGGATTCGCATTTTATATACACTGCTGAGGGTGGATTCGCATGGAAGGTGATCCATGCATATTAGGAAACTCTTACCATGTAATTACATCGATGTTTAGTCTGTTACCATGATTTGTCTATTCTGAATTAATTTACGAAATCTGTACCTCTTTAAACTCATTTCGCCTAAATTTTACGATCGAACCAAGCTTTTCATAGCCATTAATAGACAAGTTTTGACTAAAGCACACGAGACTTTTAAGACCACATATTTCCTTCATCAACTCCGCAATGCAATCAAAGAAAACCACAAACATCATTCCTGACGTTGGATAGCCATCTTAACTTGTTTTTCGAATACATAATCTATGTGAACACGGCATTTAAATCTCTCACTTTTGTCCATCAGTGGACAGCTTGAGATTCAGCGAATACTGTATTGTTAACAGTAGAAGAACTTTACTCAATAAAAACTATAGAATGCTCTCATAGTCAAAGTACTTAATCTGATTATTTATATATTTATATGGAGATTTTTTCCCGGCAGATTTTAAGTTATAACATCCAAACAATTAAAGTTAAGCAAATCCTTTTAGACATTTCACGGTTCTCTGTGATGAAAAGGGCAATGTCTGCAAAACATCTCTAAATTTGTGTCGATAAAAGAAGAAATTTATTCACAGAAAGCGTGTTGTTCAACTTTTATGGTGTTTTTTGTCATTTTCATTGAATCTTTCGGCAGTGATTCAGGTGGGAAAAAAAGGATCAGTCAGAGCTACGCGTTGTCGTTTTGATACTAGACGCTCCTAATATATTAGTATATCATTTACATCATCTGGTGACATAAAAGATATTGATAGATTACCTTCTTCTGCTTGATGAAGATCTGCATCCCTGATTTCCGTGTAATTATCGATAGTTATCGGCTGATTGTTAAGATCAGTACTTGGATTGTCGTTTTCCATGTTCATATCTACGTAATCAGAACTATTCAGAACCTGTTCATGAGTGCTGTCAACTTGCATGTTTTCTGTATTTTCTACAATATGAAATGAAAATTGTATTTTAAAAGTTGCTGCAATGGAAGCGCTTTCCGGGGTTGACACTTGAAGCAACGATAATTTTGCTACATAAAGAAGTAAAGAGCTATATGACCAAAGGGTCCTAAAAATAATGAGCCAAATTCATCCTTGTCAACTTTGCCTGTGAGAGTTATAACCTTAGTTTGCTAATAATTTCTAAATTTATCAACGGAGTATTGTACTTTTTATTGTTATAAAAGCTGTTATATTTTGAATGCAAGAACAATTTTGAATAAAAGCATATGCAGGATAAACGTCAAACACAAAAATTCCAATCAACATTACAATTAAGAAAAAAGCTTCTTTAAGTCATAAGACTGAGTTGACATTACGATTTGTCTGTTATAGATAATGCTTATTTCAAGGTTTTTCTGGTCGTATAACACACCGAGGGGTGTCAAGATTGATCAAATAAAAGACCGACCGTAGGGAAGTCTTTCTTTGTGCAATCCTGACACCCCTCGGTGTGTTATACGATAAGAAAAACTTTAAAATATGCATTATCTGACTTATATACCGTCAAAAAATATTATTTTCTGCAAATATTTGCAGGATTTGCATCCTATTTTACCGACCTTTTCTGATGCGCTCAGGTTTTAATACTCCCTACGGCTCATTTAAAATGTGAAATAAAACTCACTAATTTATCTATATATAAATTTTAGAAATCATTATCCAGGCACAATACAAATATTACAGTAACTGCATGAAACAAGACACAAATGAATTGTTACCGCCCGATAACGCTGTATGAAAAATACAAGTCACTTTGTGAGTAATTTATTGTACCAACTTAGTTTATGAAAGGGGGATGCTGTTTTTATTTCATGACGTTTTGATCGCGGATAAGCAGATTCTTCTATCAACATTTTTTTAACGAATTGAACTATTCAGAATTATTTCTTTTGAATGGCAATACAATTTTGTTTTAAACTGAGAATCAGGATTAAATTTAATCTCGCACACCCCATTATAAAGTACGTGGCTGTTATTCTATAGAAAATAAGAATGTTTGGTCATTCGTTCATTTGATAAAGTAAAAGATATATATAGATGTAAAAAGTTAAGAACTGGCACGACGAGAGCACGAAATCGTTATACATGTACACGTTGCACGAAAAACGAATATCCATACATGTAGGTCAAAGTATGATTTCCAATACAGTGTGAATCAATAAGATTTTCAAAATCCTACACACGATGTGTTAAATCTGGCTTGTTTTAAAAGTGTTATGAAAAGTTTTACATTATCAAATTCATCTCACATAATGTCCCGTTATTGTAGAGATAAATAAACAAAACTTAACTTTATTTGTTTCGAAAGTTAAAATGTACATCAACGACGATTTTGGTATTTCAGTCTAATAAACAGAGGAAAGGATTGGTTCTGCCATAAACCTATCAAAGATGGAACTTTAAAAAGTAAACCTCAATTTGCAACAACACACGATAATTAATTGGGGAAAATAAATGAAAATTGGGTTTAAATGTTTTAAATCGTTGGAATTATAATAATACCCACTATAAACATGTGGATATCGAACAAGTGGTAATTTAACATTCTAAGACAGTGTTGACAGTTGTACTTGTTTTGGCTTTCAAACTTTTTTCATCTGAGCGTCACTAGTTGGTCTTGTGTGGACGAGACGCACGTCTGGCGTATTGAATTTTAAGCCTAGTACCTTTTGTTAGCTATTATTCGTGTGTTTCTTTGTCCTATATGTTCTCCCATTTATTGGTGTTGTGTTTGACGTTGCCATAAAAGCGGGAGGTTTGGCATGCCACAAAAACAGGTTCAACCCACCATTTTTTTCTTAAAATGTCCTGTACCAAGTCAGGAAAATGGCCATTGTTATATTATAGTTCGTTTCTGTGTGTGTTACATTTTAATGTTGTGTTTTTGTTGTGTCGTTGTTCTCCTCTTATATTTGATGCGTTTCCCTCAGTTTTAGTTTGTAACCCGGATTTGTTTTTATCTCTATCGATTTATGAGTTTCGAACAGCGGTATACTACTGTTGCCTTTATTTATCTAAACATTGTGATCGAGTTACGGTAAATAAATATATCTGATCACTTCTGACTTAGGAGTAAGGAAGAGTAAATTAGTGGATTAATATCATAGTGATGTTAAAATTTTTATTATTTTGAGAGAAAATGTAATTTCTTTATACGTATAATTTCTAAAAAAAAAAGCAATTAAAGACCTATTCAATGGTCCCTCTAAAATGAATTGTCTTTGTTTTTTTTAGTTTTAGGAATACAAGATGATAACAGGACGATTTGTATTGACAAAACGTTTCGAAATTTTGGGTCCTTCATACAGTATTGTATAGTATAGTAACCCAACATTTCCTTAGGAAAATACCTGTACCAAGTCAAGAATATGGCAGTTGTTTTTCACTTGTTCCGTTGATTGATAACGTTTGATTATGTCCGTTTTTATGGACTTCGCCTTTTTGAATTTGCCTTGGAGTTCGGTATTTTGTTATACTTTTAAGCTATAAAAGGCCCTTGCATGTGTAAATTCTAAAGAAGTTCTCCAAATTTCTAAATCACAAACTACAATTTTGCAGTCATATCAAAACTCTTGATTTTCTATGTTTTCTAGTTACATTACTATGCTTAATTGAAAGATCGACTACATCTTCTCATCAAACAGAGCTCTTTCTACAAGAATTTGGATCGTAGATACAAATTCCTTGTTTTATGTCATGCAAAAAGCTTACTTTTAAAGAACCATAATGAATTAAAAAAAATACACCGGAGATGATATCTCCATAAAAGATTGACTTTTTGATCGATAACTTTTTGTTGAGTTTGGTGGATTGATATTTAAACAGACAGCTGGTTTTCAAATGGGTACTAATTGTGCACTCCTAATGAGATGTTTATTTTTGTACTTTTGTTTTTGAAACAGAAGTCATACAGAACTTTCTAAAAGACAAAATGAAAAATCATCTTGCAAAGTTCTTTAATATCACCGTCAGATATCTGTCATATATTTTGATGATGTCCTGTGACTCAATACCCCACATTTAAGTGAGTGCTTGCATCTCATATATCCAAGTAAGCATGGGATTTATGAGATTTATGATACTACCGTAACTAGAATGTCTACTTCATATCTTGTTCTTTCATTGATATTGACACAGATGAACGATTTCAAATTATGAAATAACACAACGTAAGGAATTGATCTTTCCAAATGCTAACTTCCAATTTGTCAACAGCAGCGTACCCTCTGTCCCATTTTATGACGTTTAAATATCGCAATTAATATGTTGCGCTATAGCATTTTCACGTGAAACAGATTTGATTAACATTGGTGTGCACCTTATACAAATCCTTCATCAGAATTGTGGGAAAATCGACACAACTTCAATCTTGGGATCACCATAACGAATTGGTTGACCGATATAATTTTTCTGTGTCTCAACTCCCTATGCACATGTTTTTGCGGTCTTAGAAATTTAGATGTCTGCCTTATCTGTCCTATTACCTACTGTGATATTTGCCTGAGTGAGGATTTGTATGACGAGTGATGCATGCATAACAGGAAATGCTAACACTGTCGACAAACACTGTCTCGCTTCTTTTGCAGTTCATGTATCTTTTTAATCGATTTATGACATTTTAATATTGTTTCACTACTGTTGCCTATATATTTATTTTCATTCGAATTTTTCGGATACATATGAAATGTATCTTACGTTACCATTACTGGTATATTGCAACAGGTGGAAATAATTGTATATGTCGCCCTTAAAATTACGATCATTATAAAAAGTAAAATACTTAAAATACCGAACTCCAAGGAAAATTCAAAACGGAAAGTCCCTTAACAAATGGCAAAACCAAAAGCTCAACACATCAAACGAATGGAAAAAAAGTGTCATATTCCTGACTTGGTACAGGCATTTCCTTACGTAGAAAATGGTGGATTAAACCTGGTTTTATAGCTAGCTAATATCATAGAACATTGACCAAATATGAGCCTCATTCACAAGCACTTTTAAAAAGTAAGGTAGAGATTCAGATGTTAAAGTTATTTTCTTTAAACTTACCTGCAGGAAGAAAGCTAAAATCTACATAACAATTCTACTGATAAACTATGCTAAATATCGAAACTGAAATTTGTTTTTCGAAGTTGAATTAACTCATGATATATCAGAAGCCTTTCTTAAGTTTTACAATTCCGGGGCAAATAGCAAAACATTATTTTGAAATTAGAACGATTTAAATATATGTTGTTATTCATTGTTTGGACCATAAATTTTTTCGTTACTCGAGATCGTTTCATATCATATAAACTAGTTTGAATAACCATTGGTTTAAGTACCTGGCTACAAGTTTTTTAAAGTTGTCCGACTTTTTATCTGATGACGTTTTTTGTATTGTTTTTATTTTTTGTTTTTGTTGTTCACATTGAACACTTAATGTTTAATAGTTATACGAACTATAAAACAGCATCGACACCATGATAACATTTCGTGAAAAAGAAATTCTTTTGATGAATAATCAAAATGGGTGTATAAATGTAAATGTGTTCATCACTGATGTTCATAGGGATTCTCGTAGCGAAGTCTTAGGGTTTTCTGAATTATGGTTTAATAGTTATTGTGCTCTCATTCTTTGACCATGGTCTTATCGACCGATAAGTTTCATTTGAGCCCTTTTTATTGTTATAATTTTAATATTCAACGTGATGACGTAATATATCCATGTGAAATTATTATATGAACACACTTTCTATCACTGTCAACTAAGCAGTATAACTGTTCACTCAAAAAGATATTAAAATAAACTTACCACGTACATGTACTAAGAAAAGTTATAAGTCATAGGTAAAACAGAATTTCTATATTTAGATAATAAATCCTTGAGTTAGTAAACTTTGGTACATTCTTTAAAGAATTAAAGATGTAGCATAATTCCTTTAAAAGATAGGTGAAAGATACCAAAGGGACATTCAAAGTCGTAAGTCGAAAACAAACTTACAATGCCATGGCAAAAAAACTATAAACATCGAAATCAACATTACACAAAACACAATATAGAAAACTACAGACTTAGCAACACGAACCCCACCAAAACCGGGGATGATCGCATGTGTTCCTGAAGGGTGAGCAGATCCTGCTCCACATGTGGCACTCGTCGTGTTACTCATGTTAGTACCAACCCAGTGATAAGTCTAATCTGGTAGGTCACATACGAGGAATATTACGTTTTAGAATACAATGTATATCAATCAATACTTACCAAATCTTGTATCAATACCTTCATAGTCATTTCCGCTTCTAGTTCTGGTTCCGTCGGATAACAACTGAGCTTCACCTGAAATGTATATTTTGTGTATATTTCTTTTAAGTGAAATCGTTCTGTTATACAAAGACCTTATTCGCTTAAGTAGATGTGTAAACGTTAGTCTGTAGAAATATATATTTTAATATTGTTTATTTTGGAAATTCAAGTCACAAGAAGTAGAACATGATAACTATTTTTTTTATTTTCATTTTTATGATCATTTCAGTAATCAACAGGGAATGTTTCAATATTTGCTCTTTAAAGCGTTGAGAGAATACGTTTCATAATTACGAGATATCAAAATTTATAACAGTAAACAACGTTTCAAAGATAAAATTCGTCACAATCATAGCTTTAATAAAAGTATAGTTATTCAAAATTCAGCCGTTTCCTATTTATAACATTGGTTCCAAAAATATTTGAAATGTTTCTAGCGTTCGATTCTACAAGTTATAAATACTGATGATGAGGTGTGGTTTCCTTTCGTAAACGTCGGTAGGATATTTCATCACGCAGAAATTGCGTACCTGTAGCCCTTTTCACAAAAAATCTTAAGTGTAAAATTAATCTTACGATAAAAATATTTAGTTGAATTGTTAAGAAATATTTTAGACTTACGATAAATTTTACACTTAAGATTTTTTGTGAAAAGGGCTCCTGGGTTTAATTTGGTTTTACGAGGTTTTTTTTTAGTTGGTTGTTTAGTTTAGAGAGTCTTCGTATTAGACTTTACCACTAATCATCTGACCTCTGCCACATTGGAGCATATTTCAAGAAATATATGACTAAAACCCTATGTATATATTATTCGTACTATTTTTTTGTTTCTTGAAACTCCATTCTGTCGAAATTCTAGTGACAAAAAAAATCTTTTCAAAATTGAAAACGTTATTATTTGACATGTCATCCGTAAGAATATTTCGTATAAACTGATGCAAAAACTGTCTGATAATTAGTAATATCAATGAAGTAATATTAAAAACTGTATTATATTCATCATTTTAAAAGAAAATAATGAGAAAACAAGCAGGCTATATTGTATCTTGTCAAATTTGAATGGTCATACAATTATTTTGGTTCTATTTATCAAAGAAACTGATCAATACTCCAATACTCTATATAATTATGACTCTAAATTAACTGATATACATAAAACATTAACATTTACGAATGCATTCAATTGGAAAATGTTAGAAGGCCTTAGTCAACCGCAGGCAATATAAAATACTTGTATTACACAAACGTATGATCCGGATTTCAGTGCATACAACACGTGTTTGAGGAATAACCAGCAACTTTTATCAAGTTATTTGAGAGTATCAACCACAAATCGCGAATTTATAAAGAAACTAAGGTTTCAATTGCTCAATCAAAGTTGACCTTAGATGAGTTGGCCATTTCTGCTTTTATCTCTTTTGTTCGTGTAGATGCTTGCGTATTTAGATTTTGTACAACCTTGACTTACAACCTTTTGTGCTTGAGCGTTCCTGATAAAAATTGAGCAAGAAAAGCGCTTCAAACGTACAAGATGCAATAAAGATAAGAGTTAAAAGAGAGGCGAAAGATACTAAAGGGACATCAAAACTCAGAAGTCGAAAATAAACTGAGAACGCCATGACTAAAAAAAGAAAAAGACCAACAGACACACAACAATACACAAAACATATGCGATCAACATTGTTATTATTCAGGGAAAAGACATCGTATAAACAGCGGAACATGAAGTTAATGAATAACAGACTGTGTTTTCCTTCTACATGTGAATAAAAAGATAATTCTGCAATGAGACAACAACTCAAAGACAAACAATCAAAACAGTCAATATAGGTACGAAAGGAAATCTTATATTATATACTAAGGGTACTACGTTTTACTTACTGTTGTCTTGGGCCCTTTCTAAGTGCTTTGTTGTACTGTGAAGAAAATAAATATGTATATCATTACATTTTTTAACAGGACATAGAGTAAGTAGTATATATCATATCATAGTGATAAAACAAGATAAAATCAGTCACTGCAACAATAGCTTCTCGTATATGTTTACATTGTATTCCGTATTGTGTGTTCTTAACGAACTAGTGCGACACCACCATATCATCATCTGTCTGTCCCAGGTCAATTAATACGAAATTTTATTTTCGACGTCGTGATTTCTTCGTCATTTGGAGAGTTTCGTATTTGTGGCTAATCTTTGATATTATGTATTCTATTCTTATATCAAAACTGTCTTATGCTCGAGACAATCAAAATCTGATTATACCGTTTTGACTCCTAGTATGATATTCGAAGGCTTGTGTTTCCTATAGTGACTTTCTTGATAAATGGTTACTGCTAAAACGGAAGCTATTGCATGATAAGTTCTAATTGTTAAAGTTAAGTCATCCATTCATACGTTTTACGGACACCATCATAAATAGGTTGGTCGTTATAGAATATCTGTGTTACAGATGACCCCGTATATGTTCAATTTATCGTTACCAAAATCCCTCCTTCTTTTCCTAGATTATGGCTACCGAATAGAATGAGACTGCTATCGAAGTTTAACTTGCATGGTCAACGGGTTCCAAACGTAGACAAGAAAACGTTTATCCTTTTGGAGCACATGAGTTTATCCTAGATTTTTAGTGGGGTTCGTGTTGCTCAATCTTCAGATTTCTATGAGGTGTTTTGGTTTTTTCTGTCGTCGTTTATCTTTTTAGACTTGCTGATGTCTCTTTTTATTCGGCTTGTGAATTTATATTGTCTTCTTGGTATCTTCTCTCTTTAATTGAATGACTGACCTTGACCTCGGCATATATTTTTCTCTCTCGTGTCGTCGGATGATTGTCTCATCGACGTATACCTTATATTACTTTTTATTCTTGTCCACAAAGTTTTCGCAGTATGAAGGTTATTTTAGTGAACTTTACAGATAACCTTATGGTGTAAATGTTTTCATTACAGAGATCTTTAAAATACAATATATACTGTTACATGAAACCTTACTTACGATTTGTTCAATCTGTATTTTCTAACAATCAGACATAGGCTGATTACACCCACAATGACAATTACAGTGGATACTATAATTATAATTATAGTCGTAGTGTAATCTAAAATAACAAATATAAAATAGTTTTAGAATTTCTCTTTCTTCTTTTAGTTTTGTTCGTTTTTCTTTTTCTTTTAAAGCCTATAATTGCAATGTTGCCTTACTGGATAGCTTAAATTACTTCAGATCTATTGAAATTGGTATTTATAATTTCTATTCTTATTAAAAAAAAACTTTTACTTGTACAAGTTCTCACGAGCAAATGGTTCAAGCAAGGACATTGAACATGATACATATAATTTGTACTGAATTATCCATGTGGAATACTTTTGTACGGAAGGAATAATGTGTATACATTACATTTTGTACGAATGGAGCACAGATATAGTTCAAAGACTATGCACATAAACAGCGCATATTGCACATGGACTTAAAATAACACGGAGATTCCGGGGACTAACTTTGCATCAAGCACTTTCCAAAGCAACTGTATATAAATTGTGTTTTGACGTTATCAGGACATAATATTTCATTGATTATATGAATGATAATTACTTTATCAATTTTGCTCAAAGCACTTCTCTGGATCTCACTAGTGACGTTTTACGTCTTCTCTATTTTTCTAGTTGTAATGTTTAGCTTTATTGTGTCACTATCTTCAATCGCTATATGTCCTATGGTATATTTAAAGTCGTTTTTTTCTAGCAAAAAGTCTATAATAACTTCAAACAGGACAAAGATTGAACCATGCCTTTTACGTTCTCCATGTGGTATCTAGTACATGCATTTGTATTTTAGTTAATTATTTCATACACGACATTTTGTTTTTCTTTAATGACATAGTTGTGTGTTTTTATAATGATTAAGATTATAGCACAATGTTGACTGCTGCGACTGCGACTGTCATACAAGTTAGAGGTCTAGCTAGTTATACAACCAGGTTTAATCCACCATTTTCTACATAAGGAAATGCCTGTACCAAGACAGGAATATGACAGTTGTTTTCCATTCGTGAGATGTGCCTGAGCTTTTGATTTTGCCATTTGTTAAGGAATTTTCCGTTTTAAATTTTCCTTGGAGTTCGGTATTTTTGTCATTTTACTTTTTTCTTAGCATGCGTATTTTGTTTTGGTCAGATATAAACACTTAAGTACAAGTAACTACTTTCTGTATTTTTAAGGCAAATTGGACACCGAGTACAAATTTTGCTGGTATATTCTATATTATATGAATAAAATAAACAGTTTGTATGGTAGTCGATAAGTATACGTGGATAGTGATCATGATAAATCTTTAAAACAAACCTTAGATTTTGTAACCTTTTCTGTCAGTTAAGGAGTCATAAAAATGTATACATGTATAAACTATAGTCACTTCTTATTGTCAACTTTGCAACCTTGGAACATAAGAACAAGTGCTTGTGCTCAAACAGCTATTTTTCAAAATACGTCAGAACGTCAATTTTTTTTTTAAACTTGATTGAAGATTAAAAATAAATAGCCACAACCAGTATGACAAAATTTATTTTCACAAAAGCATACTAGTTTTTAATGTTAACATTAAGTACCAACATACAGGTAGTGTAACATCTTCATTTTTCTCTTTTTAGATGTCAGACGATACGTTTAAATTCGTTTTTATAAAGTCTAATAATATCAAACAGGTCAGGTATTTTGACACTTGACTTAAATATTCTCCAAGTATTTAGCATTATCTAGTATATGTTTTATAGTTAATTATTTCAGACACAGATACTGCCTACATCTTTATTGTAACTGGGACACACAGTACAAACTTTGCTGGTACAGTTGGTTTATGAATCTGAATAGTAAACAAACTTGTATTGTTATCAACTAAAATAAAGTGTCAGATGTGACAACATAAACAATAATCTACTTTTTACCTGATGATGGACATCCAGTAGCTCTATTACATTCTTTGACGTCACAGTTACACGGATTTGTACATGCAATTCCATATTTCCCAGGTTCACACGCTAAATGATTTAATTTGCATTTAGTATTTGATTAACATAATCACAATAAATCACAATATATACTATACATGTGTTTATTGTTACAAAAAAAAGCTCTTTTTCTTTTTTCCGGGTTATAAAACTAAAACATGTATTTTCCAATATGTGAACAATTCTGAAGCTTTATCAATTGTACCTAAAATGGTTAAAACACTTGTTATTGTAGATTCTTTGAAAATAAAACAATTTTCTGTTTTTCAACAAATTTGTTAAGAGTATTTGCTTTTTTTATAAATATGGTAATAATATAAAGACCAAAGTTGAATCGTGAGGTTAAAACAACATCATGTGTTTTCTAAAATATTACGCAGAACGCTAGCACAGATGGATCGGGTGCATCATAAAGATAATAGATGTGAAAATTCACACTACAATATCAAAAAGGGGATTATAAAATGTTTATATTCAATTTAAGATAGCTTCTCGATTACTAAAAGCGTATGGTTGCAATTAAAAACTTACATTTTAAGATATTTATGCCAATAAACTCTAAACATATAAAGTGTTTGTAAAATTTATAATCAATTGTACTTACTATTATTGCACGTTGCTCCTACTAGACCTGGTTGACAAATGCATCCTCCAGTTATTATTTTACACACGCCCTGTATATACCTTTGTGGATCCCTACAGTGTTGTAAATCTTCTTTACATGATGTGGTACAACTACTATAACCCATACATGGATCAGTACCAGTTACTGAAAAATTTGAATCACACATGTACAATAAAACTTTTATTAGATTACGTGTATATAGACGTTACAATTGAAGATCATTTGAGCGGAATGAAAAAAAAAACATGTATTGCAGCGGAAAGACGACATTGAAAGATTTAAACCCGACATTCAAATTTTTATAATTTTTATATAGTTTGAATAAAAAAGTTTATGAATATATTTGTCGTAGTTAAATAACATGTACATTTAACATGCACTTATGATAGTTGAAAGACAACACATCACTAAAAGGCAGAAAAGGGTGTGATACACAATAAGGGTCCAGTTAAATGCAAATGATTTGCTGAAAGATATGACTTTCACGGATACAGTAATAATTGAAAAGTGACGCAATTGATAATAGGAAATTTGATAAATACATGTAGTTCATTTCTATTGTAAGAGAACAGATACAAACCTTGACTTACGATTTCAGCTAGTAAACACAAAACTATACACAACAGACTGAAGATGAACACGACGGGCTTCATTTTATCTTAAATGTTAGATTGGCACTCAAAATAATGCATAGGAATATGTGATTTTTGTTCGCAGAACAATGGATTCTTTGGTCTGAAAAAGAAATAAACAGGAATTTGGTCAACAATTCATAGATATAGAGAGACATTCATGCAAAATAAATAGTAATTTACAATATTTGCAACTGGATCTGAGGTTTATATAAATAATATGTTCGTGAATACCTGGAGAGTTTTCATTGCAAATATTTAGAACGAACCTTTGGTTTTATAAAACTTAAAATTCCAATCAGCTAACTAGTCATAAACATGTATACATGTTATAAACTATGGACACTTCTAACTACCGCAACATTGGAATTGATATCCTTTCTTCGGGAATTAACAATAGTACAGACAAAAAAGTTATTTTCACTTTTTTTTTATTCGATAACTATTATTTCAGGATAAACATCTTTCAGAATCAATCAGAGCCAAAAAATGTGTGCTGGTTGAATTAAGATATAAACATGAGTATTAAAAACTGTATTGGGTGAATATCAAAGGGCGCAAAACATTTGGGCTAAACCATAAGTGTGATCATGGTATCATTCGGAAGTATTTGGAATCAAGTTTACATTTAGGCTATTTAATTATTTTATTCCAGTACAGGCAAGTTACATGTCAAATTTATCTATATTAATATTTGGTATGAAATATATAAAATATATAAAATACTAATTTACTTTCTATCATTTTTTTTCATACTTGACAGTATTGGGAGAATGAAGACCGGATAGACAAAGAATTATCGATCTGCAGTAAAATTTATTTCTTGCAACACTTTCATGTTTCAAAGGATATCTATTATCCAACTCTGTTAGTATTTTCTGGACTCGCTTGATTTTAAAAGTCCAGGTAAATTTGGTTTGAAACAAAAACAGACCTTATACAAGTATTAAACGGGCGCATGCCATTTGGACTAAATGGAAGGGGTACACAAAACACAAATAGAAAAGAATGTAATTAATTACATTAAGGTTATTAATGTAATATGGGAGGATGAGCCCAAATATAGTCTTTCTAATTTAGCCCAAATGTCGACTTGCTATTGGCCCAAATTTTCTAGAAAGTAGATTTCTGACATTTTGAAAGATGAGGAATCATCTAAACCATTAAACACATTAAATAACACTCAGATTCTTAGCAAGTCTTTAATTGACCCAATTTAATTTAAGAAACAACATTTTAATCAAATAAAGGCATAATTGATTGTGAATATTTCGATACAGTGACCAAAACTATCGGAACATCTTACTGCCCAAAATAAAACAATGTTCGAAACTATTAACATCGTTTAGCAACACTTTGCATTCTGTTTAATAACAAAAAAAAGCTTGTGTCGAAAAAACACAATTTCTATTAGTTCAGAAAAAAAATATTTCAAAAATAGGTCAGAATGTAAACATTCCGTTACGATCATTGGAGATCAAAACCAAATTGCAACCACCAGAATGATTAAGTTTATTTTTCAAATTGATGGCATCTAATATCAATTAGAATTGGGCTTGAATTTTGTATTTTTACCAAAAATATTTTTATGTCAATTTTTAGCTAAAATCAATCGCTTTGGAAATTATAAACTCTGGTGTGTTTAAATATAAATCCGTAATTTTTGTATCAGCTGTTTGCACATAAATACTGTGCAAGTTATGGCAAGTTTTATATGGATTTGAAAATACTTTTTCAACTGGAACAAAGTATATAGTGTCTTTACACACATATTCCTTTTTATTTAAAATGTGTCTTTAGAATAGTGTCAGTGCACTAACTACTATACTGATCAGACATTTGACTACAAAAAAAACTCAAACGATACTGATACTCACTTTTAAATTAGTTTCGAGGATACGTATTTCAGTAGTGAATTAAATACAGGCAATATATTGTTCTTATGGACACAAACATGATTTTAATGACCTTCCTAACAGGAACTCATCCACTTCAAATCAATATGCCCAATATGATAATACTACCGTAATAACAACATCTTTTAATTACATGAATCAATGAGGAGATCACTTAGGTATTGTTTTACGTAGGACATGTTAAAGTGTCGTGATTAAACATTTATTCATAATTTCCCCCGTAATGCGTTTTAATAACACGAGTTTGCATGTTACATAGAAGCGCACTCCTTTCCTGATGAACGTGATATTTAGTAAATGTTTCCAAGTCAACTCAACAAATTATGTAATATGTACCTTGAGTGATCAATATTATTTCTTATTGAACAGTTTCGCTTTTTTTTTTCGTTCTCATTTGACAATCTTTTTCCACGAGTGCTTATATTACTCTGTAGTTTTAATGATTGTAAAGACGTAACTACAACCTATGGTAGAATATGTAAGACGATATTCCTAGTATTGTATTGTATAATACCGTTTCCTTCAAAGACACATGTAGTTATAGACAAATTCCAAAAAAATACGCCTAATTCAACGCTCTGTGCAAAAAAATGCAAGATGTTACTGGAAATAGATTAAAACTGGCGATCACTAATAAGTCTTGAGAAATGAAGTTCAATGTCGAAGACTTTTGTGTAACTGTTCAAACGAAAAACAAACCAACAAACAACCTTGTTCCTCGATTATATTGGTTAGATTTTAATTCAATGATTATTTCATATATATCCGAGACAAATACTTTCAGTACGACCTTTCGTATAAAATTAAGTATAATGTATATATATTGTATATTGTATATCACAAATGTATATATAAAAATTAATTTTGAAAATAATAATAATGACCTCTTAAAATTTTGGGTCTAAAGTGAAGGGTTGTTCAGAAACACCGTCTTGTTCAATGAGGAGCAACGAGAAAGCAACCAAACTCCCAAAGATATCTAGAGGTTCACTAAAAAGTAAAATAATAAAAATACCGAACTTCAAGGAAAATTCAAAACGGAAAGTCTCTTATCAAATGGCAAAATTAAAAGTTCGAACACATCAAACGAATGGACCTCAAGTAGCGAACACATATTGATTTCCAAATCATGTGTCTTTTTTTTTATTTTCCCTTTGGTAGCTGGATCACGCAGGCTTTTTAAAGTGTGTTTAACTTAAACGACATACCGGGATATTGTCAAGATAGGCACACTGCCGTATCATCTACAATTCATCGAGAGAACTTTAAAATACCCGTTTTCTACAAATAAATTTGTGAGTCAATGATCAATTTAATTCATTACAATTAGAAACATTAAATAACAAGAATTTTTTTTACATTAAAATTACTGTGACCTTGCGCATTGTTTATGAAGCTGTTCTGGCTGTGCATTTCCGTATAAAACTCTGAAATGTTGTATTTCAATAAATTAAGTACTTTGAGATCGCTTTCAGTGAATTTGTCTCTTGTGATTTTTTTCATTATGGAATTCAGTTTCTTTTAATGTCTTTCTTTTTTTTTGGGGGGGGGGGGGGGGGGGAGCGGAGAGGGGATTAAGCGATATAATCCTGTCGTTTTTCCCAAATCTTCTTTTATTCACATTGAATAGCTTTATTGTTATATTGAAAAGTCAGGAATCCTTTCAAATTTTCATCTACATTTCTAAATAGACTTCACACGACAACCCTATTAAATACAGGAGAAAACATGTTCTTATACAATTGTCATAAAAAAAATGTGTGTACAAAGTCACGATACATATGAGAAAACAATTAAACATTTTAGTGTGTTATAAAGAAGTATAAAGCTCACAGTAGAGGAAGTATAAATTTTGGAATGATATTATAGATCTTATTTTTCAAATGCTAAATATGAAATTAGCGGCACGACAGGTGCCACAAGGCAAAAAAGTTTAACAAAAATACCGAACTCCAAGGTAAATTCAAAAAGAGGAAGTCCATAAAAACTGACAAAATCAAACGTTATCAACCAACGGAACGACTGGAAAAACAACTGTTATATTCCTGACTTGGTACGGAAATTTTCCGAAGAAAATGGTGGGTTAAATCTTGTTTTATAGCTAGCAAACAAGAACTCCTACCCTATCTACAAGAGTACCTGATATCCTGAACCTCACAAACTTCTGCAGAGAAAATTAATAATTGTCCAATAGTTAATTTTCTCTTCAGAATTTGTAAGCTTGTGATGTGTTGTTTGTCTGTTCGTCTTATTTCTCTTTTTCCATACTATCGTCTGTCTTTCTTCGACATAAATTTTAATTTCCACTTTAGTATCTTTTCCCACTTTTCTTTTAATGAAAATATAAGCGGCATTATACTGTCGTTGACCCAAATCTTCTTTTATTCACATTAATTAATAGATTTATTTTTATATTAAAAAAAACAAGCATCCTTTCAAATTTTCCTCTACATTTCTAAAAAGATTTCACACGACAACTCTATTAAATATAGGAGAAAACATGTCCTTATACAATTGTCATAAAAAAAATGTGTGTAAAAAATGACGATACATTTAAGAAAACAATTAAACATTTAAGTGTGTTATAAGGAAGTGTAAAGCTCACAATAGAAGACGTATACATTTTGGAATGATATTAGATATTTTTTTCAAACGCTAAATAAGCCCGGAAATGAAAAAAGCAAAACAAGAATAACAACAAAACATATAAGAAAACAATTAAACATTTTAGTGTTTTATAAGGAAGTGTAAAGCTCACAATTGAAGGACGTATAAATTTTGGAATGATATTAGATCTTATTTTTTAAACGCTAAATAAGCCTGGAAAGGATAAAAACAAAACAGTTATAAACTTTTTAGCTTTTATATAACTAGTCCAGAGACTGCTGGGTGTTGAATCACTCAAACTGAAAACAGAAACCCCCATAACAGGGAGCTCACATAACATCATTGAAAAATGGGAAAATGAATAATATAATAGGAAAAGTTGTGTTATTCATACTTATTGTTTTTAATGAAGATTCATTAGAACGCCATGTACGCTATTAATAAAACCATGATAAATATTAAACACAGGCGGATGTATTTAACACATATTTAAAAAAGAGTGTTGGGAATACCAAAGTTGGTACAATAACTGAACTGAACATTGGCAATCATACAAAATCTCCTTATTTTCTTTTTTTGTATTATCAAGGTTATTCAGATCACCTGTCTATAACTTCCAAGCCTTTACAGACCTATTGTTCTTCATTATAATATTTGAAATTATTATGCTTCATGTCAAAATGCCAGATTTTGATTGGTTAATACGAGGAAGACAATTTACTCTATCCCATGGCAAATACTATATTACCCTTCACGGAGACGCTTGCTAAGTGTGCGCTTTAATAAATACGGATGATTGTTATGTATAAGACGACATAGTTTATTACTTTGCATTTAAAATTTAAAGACAGAACATTCAGTATAATAAATTAAATAACACATATCTGAGAGAGTGTTAGAGCAGATTGTTACCCCTCGCCTCAGTTGACAATATTTTCTCGGGGTAACAATCTGTTCTATCACCCTATCAGCTATGTGTTATTTATATAATAACCCATCTGGATAAAGACCAAATATGGCAATAAATGAAGCAACCAATATGATAACATTAGATTTCTGTCAAAATTGGTCCGTATGGCCTTACCTTAATATTGCAGTAAAACTGTACAGAATACTACCACTGGTTGTGTAGATAATTTTTCTATTTCAAAAGATAGTCCATGTTAAAATAGAATATGTCATCCTATATGTCCGATGAATCACAGACGACCAATTGTTTTAATGGTTGTCCTATTTTTAAATGTATTATCGGTTTAGGAAATTGTACTTCATGGAGCAATATAAATATTAATAAAACTATATTTTGAACAAGGAAAATCAATTGTGACCATATATGGAAAATATTTTTCATTTTGAAATTTTTAATACACATAAGTTTGATTATAAATGTACAAGTTTATTAATAGTGTTAACAATAATACATTGACTTGTGTAGTTATCTACAACTATTTGCACCTTCTTAAATCAGTGACCTTATAAAAAAAACTATAAGAACTTTATTATTATTTAATGAAAAAGTAGGTTAATAAATTTCTAACTAAACAAATGAATACATATAGAATTGTCGACTTATAGTTGTATATTTTACACGTTTTAGTTCTCAGAACGTATTATATTTTTTTTTTTAAAACGTGGACCAATATTAAAACAGATAAATTCGTAAATAAAAACAAAAACAAATAGAATTATGTAGATAATACAAATAAAAGACTAGAAAAATATAGAGAACTTTAAAAAAAAAAAAAAAAAGAAGATTTATCTAAAATATACTGTACAATCCAGTTCAAAAGAAGCAAAGAAAAATTAACAGTTCAAAACAATACGAACGAATCCAATGAAATGAGACTATGATATAATTTCAATAAAGACAATAACAAATAATCGTACGTAACATGCGAACAAAGATTAGAAGACAAACTGTTTGATACAATGGAAACGAATCCAAGAAAACAATATATTCGCATCTATAAATTAAAATATAGCTCCTGCCTGTAAAAGGCAAGAATAAAATAAATGTCCTCACCATTGAACGTAGACAAAAACCTATTTTTTCAATAGTTAAGTCACTAACAATATCGCTATCGACATTTCCCTGTTCTAACTGCTTTTAGGATAAACATTTTCTATTTGATAAATAGCCTCGAGCTCGTTAGCCACAGCTAATCTTCTACATGGTCTCAAAATAAGTAAGAAAGGTAAACTCCAGTTTTCCATATAGTGCAACAATAATCAAACATTTGAAAAATATATGCGTTGACATAAATATGTATACTTTCGAATCTTTAGTAACAAATGAATTTTATTTCACATTACGCTCAAATCTTGTCGATTGCTGTGTTCAATTATAAATATTTTTTACAGTAAAACACGATAAGTGCGACATTTTCAGTTACAGTTCATCAGACATAAAATTGAGAATGGAAATAGGAAAATACATATATCCAATTGGTGATGCTATATCGTCTACTTTAACTCACAACTCCTAGAATGTATGTGAAGTTAGAGATATATTGGTTACCTGGTGGTCTGTCGAAAATGTGCTTACTATACAAATGTGTTTAACATAATAGTTCTTAAGTGGGCAATCATTTCTGTATTTATTCTATAGTTTATCATTCTTTCTTTCCTATTTTTAAATGCAACAATACACAACAAGTATTCCGAGCAATTGAATTTATTATTGTTTTGTGTCTTTTAACAAAACACATGATAATAGCGGTTTTGTTCGTTTTTGTCTATGATTGTATCAGATTCGTATCTTTAACCCTATATTTGCGTAAGTAATATATGAGCTTGTGAAAAGGAAGTGTTATAAAATACACCCTAACTGTTTTAAGGTAAAAACTTTGACATTCTTTTGTTTTATTTGGTTGGTTCTATAACCGTTTTTTAATTGGGAGTGAGTTGGGATGTAGGATAAACTGCTTTGATATGAGAGCACACAAAGTTATGCCTTATAATTTGATTTTTCCTACGTCTCAATGTTACTTTATTTACACATTTATAAATTGTAATGTGGATTAGAGTTTTTCCATGGCTTTATTCAGTGTATGGTCTTGAAACTTAAGACTGTATGAATTTGCTCACTGGTGAAGGCCGTAAGGTGACTTACAATTATTCACATCTTTGTCCTTTGTGGCAATCATACTACATCTAATCAATAAAAATACCGAAAGTTTGTGAAAAGCGCAATGAAATAAACAAGCGTAGCGACCATCATTGCACTTTTTACGAGTTATATACATATACTTTTTTTTATCATACACAAACTACAGTAGCTATATAGTTTTCCATTTCCAATATTTTGTATATGTATTAAAAAGTAAAAAAAATATTCATTATCATAAAATATATTCCTATCAACAAACCAATCAGATTTAGCTTATTCAAGGTAACGTCATCTGACATATCGTAATGACCATCGATACGAAACCACAGACAGAAACACAAAAATTGTTTGAAAATGTAAAAAGAAATTCAGAATATCAATTGTATGAATATCTTTATGACAATAAACAACCACTGACTTGCCAGAACTCTGACTTTGAACAGACACGTGTTCATAAGGAGTGCTTAATTTTTTTTCCTAAGTCTCTCCTCTTTTATTTTATAATCTAATTTGACGGGCTTCTTTCGCTTTGTAAACAATAGCGTGATAAAATCTCGATATATATCTATACTTAGCGCAGACTCAGAGATGTTCTTATTGATGGCTGTTACTAATTACTTCCCACGTAAATCCACATGTATCATAACATGACGTCATACGAATGAAAACTCTCAAGGTGTCAGACCACCAATTAAAAATCCCTATCTATTCAACCAAATTTTGCAATTTTCACAGCTTTCAAAATATTTTACCTTAAGTTTAACTTCATGAAAACCGGGTATATCCTGAATTGTACATGTATCAGCTTTCTACATGCCAATTTTCAACATACCTTTAAAGCCTTCTAAGAAAAATACTGACCTTCGAATAGAGGTACTCCAAAAATAACCCCTGGTTTTCTGGAAATCTTAAATTAGTATACTATGGAGCGCATTAATCCTCAATTTTTAATGCAAACTCATAGACAAGTAAATTTTGGCTCAAAATGGTCTAAATATCTTTTTCTTTCACCAAAAGTTTCATTTCTGCAAATTTGTTGGTTAGTTTAAGTAAACAAGGACATCAAAAGCACTATTTTGTGTCAGAGTAGGGCTACTTTTACATACGTTCTAAATTGGAGGGAGTAATTGGTGGTCTGACACCTAAAGAGCCAAAAAAGTTGATCAGAAATCTTTTGTTTTGCTTTATTCTTAATCCTTAATCAATTTGTAGTTAAAAACATCCGATCTGAGCATAATGCGACTTATATTACAAATTGCACAGCTCAATTCAATCTGACTGTAATGTATGACTTTGATAAAAAATACTTGAAAATTTCATTTTGGACTACAGGAACATAAACTTTCAATATCAAGATCAGTTTTTGTTGATTTTTCCTTGTTTGTTCTACTGCTTTAAAGACTTTCCACAATTTTTACAATGAGTTTAGTAAAAAATCCAAGGTTTTGAAAAGTCAAGGAATATTGACCCCCTTTTTTTCACCTGGTGTCAGTAATGGGACTATTAATTGATCAAAAGTACAGTCATGGTCATTTAACTGTTTTTATTTACTATCAGTCAATAAAATTAAAGGTATAAAACTTTCATTTGAGATAATAAATGGGATTTTCGTGAGTTTATGCAGTGTTTACATCAGGCTATGTTATCTGCCAAATACATGGTATGACGCAATGATATAAGGGGTAAAAATCAAATAATTTCATTAAATCTTCATGACGACAATTTTTTGGGGTAGTAAACAGCCTATGTTTTAATGTTTAACACCACAGAAACAACTTACTGTGCATTTCCAACAATTTAGGAATTTTTTCTTATATGAAAGCATATTGTCAGGGTGGGAAAAGCAAAAAATAGCACAAATTCAGGTTTAAGGCTCTAAATTTAAAATATGTAACTTTTTGTCCAATAAAAGATTGAAATGTGGCTACTATCATTTCAAATGATCAGTTAAGACAAAAAAATCAATTGTTTTCCTGATTTTGGGGTTTCCCCACATTTCCAAAAAAGTTGATCAGAAATCTTTTGTTTTGCTTTATTCTTAATCTTTAATCAATTTGTAGTTAAAACATCCTATCTGAGCATAATGCGACTTATATTACAAATTTCACATCTCAATTAAACTGACTGTAATGTATGACTTTGATAGAAAATACTTGAAAATTTCATTTTGGACTACAGGAACATAAACTTTCAATATCAAGATCAGTTTTTGTTGATTTTTCCTTGTTTGTTCTACTGCTTTAAAGACTTTCCACAATTTTTCACAATATCTTGGAGTTAGACTATTTCTTTCTTTTCGGGCGGGGACTCCAAGCAATCAACATGCATGTGTATAACGGCACTGTAGATTTTCTTATTAAATAAAAAAAAGTTGCCGGTCCGGTACACGAATAGATCGGTTAATAATCAAAGTTTTAATTTTAATTAGATTAGAGGGTTGAAAATAGAGAGCACAAAAAAAAGGGGAGAGGGGGTGATCCACAGGGAATATTTCCTTCTTATGAACTCTTCATCTGAAAGGTTTAATTTTTTTTATTTAATTGAAAGAGAGAAAAACAAATGTAAGACACATTGTGAATGGTCTTTCTTCCTTTCTCCCATGCCAAGAAATTGCCTCCGTTGAAATTTTGCAAACATCCCATAGAGCAAATTACATGATTGGATAATTTTGACCATTTGGTATATGGCTGTGTTTTGAGTGAGACGTACACGCGGGTCATAAATTAATTTATTGAATGAAATCAAATCTTTAACTACTAATAGATGCCGTAGGAGGTCGACCGGAATTTTTAGCGAGGATTTCTTGGCATGTGTACCTTACGCACAGTAGAATCTAAATTATTGTATAAAAACAATAAAACAGCAGAATGGTTGAAAGAAAAAAAAAGAGTCTGAAAAAGGTCACATCATAAACAAAGCAATACGCAATAATGCAGAATTTATAAACAATTCCAAATTGAAACAGAAAAAACTTTACGATAATAGAATAAAAACAATAGAAGAAAGACAAAAGGCTAAAACAAAAAGAGAAGAAAAAAGAAGGCTAACAAATTGAAAAATGCTTAAAGATTTGGAAATCATTGGAATTTGGAAAAATAAAAAAATAATCGAAGAAAATATTGGCAAAATTAGAACCAAAAAAGATAAAATT